CAGTGTATGTCTGAAAAGGGCTTCAGTTATTTGCTTATCTCACTGTTCTCGCTCGTTTCTGTGTCTTTTCTGTTTTCTGACAGACTGCTGTGACTGTCTCACACTACCTTGGACAAAGTAGGGAATAGAAAAAGACAAAAAAAATCTAGAGTTAGAGACACTGGCACTGGAGACAACATTTTTACTAGCTTTCCTGTTTCTCTCAACCATGTCTTGCCAAAGGTTTGCCAGTGGTCATTTTCCCTTCATTTTTGTAACATATGTTGTCAACTGTGTCCTCTCTTCTCTTGCCATTTTTCTCTGCCTTCTCATCATCTTCACATTCTCTAAGTTGTAGCTCAAACCCAAAGCAGATGGTGTCCTGTTCTCTTTTCAGTCATTCAGAGCACTTTGTGTTTTCTCATCTTGTCAAGCATGGCTCAGGCCTGTGTAATGAGCGTGGGGCTTTTCAGTCTGTTTAGAGGACCTTAACCCAACTCAGAGCCTCCCCAGCACACAAACTACTGCAAGGTTACCCAAACCCACAGGGGAGCACAATGCTACTTAGTGTCCACAAGCCCTCAGCCTTTTCTTAGGGAGAGAAGAAAGGCAGAATATTAATGAAGGCTGTTGGCTTTTCAGGAGGATACCAGTGGAGAGGGGCAGCCACTGTGTTTACTGAGCAGACTTGTTTTCATCTCCCTAGCCTGCAGGTCACAGCTCAGTGCTCTTTAATTGGCTCTGATTGTCAGACAGTGTTCCATCTCATAGCAAAGAAAACTCCGTCTATCAAATGGTGACCCCCCCCGAATCCTTTTTGTCCTGTTTTGAGAGTAGCAATTGCTAAGCTACTTACACAAGCCTGTACTACAAACTTAACATTAACATATGAAAATGGGTTGCTTTCCACATTTACCAGCTCATTAGTTCTTTTGGCTGGGCACTTGTTGAGGTTCACCCGCTCTTGTTTTGCTTGAGCAGAGAGAGGTCTTTAATTGTCTTTGCTGTAGACATATCAGGCCCAAAGCTATTAGTCAATGCAGAGTTCAATGAGGGGCTCTGATACTTGTTTAATATACATGGCCCGGTGCAGACCAGGCCCAAGTCCCTCACAGACCACCCAGTTTGTACTCAATTCTGCTTTCATCGACTGAAAAGAATGGAGCTTCTCAATAGATACTGGTAGTGACTGACATCTTCCTACGTTATTCTCACTGAGCAAGCAGTAGCCCTCCATCTGCTTCATAAAAGCAGCAGAAACCAAATATTCTACCAGATATTTGAGTAACTCAAGCCAAATATGCAGTGTCAATGAAAGAGATTTAGTACAAATGTTTTTCAGATGCAGTGTATTTTATCTGGGCATACTTTACTGGGGCTTTCACAGAAGATACTGAGCAACAGCTGGCAAGCGAAAGTAGAGTTTTCATGGTTGTCAGTAGCTCCTGGGGCGAGATTGTGATTTGATCATGTCCAGTGTTTAAGTGGGAGCAGCTTGGACACCTGTGTGAGCTAGCTGAGATCAAAGCTCCAGGACCTGCTCAGACCAGGCCGCCACACCACGTTTTGGGGATCAAATGAACAGCAGAAATTCTCTTGGGGAACCGACACTGTAGGCCACATGCACCTCCACATGTCGATTTTTATTCTTCCACTGCTCAAGAAAAGAGGAGTTGAATAAAAGACAGTGAGATGTCCTGTGGCTGAGGGACAAAACAAACCTGCTTTTTTCTGCCAAAGGTTCCTGTCTGGACCATTAAGCAGACACTATTCCCTTGCTGCCCTTTGCATGACCCACAGGGACCTCCTATCCCATAGGTTGACTGGGCTGGAATGAAAATAGATCTACAGTAGATCATGGAGAAATGCATGTTTTTAATAGTGTCATAGTAGTGAGTCCAAAAACTTTAGTTAGCATTTTTGTACCTCTGCTTCCTTCCTCTGCAATAAAGTCTGTGGTTAACACAAGGCCAAAACATTTTCATGTTTAGTTTTATGACATAAAATAAGTCAGTAAATACCCCACTTGTGATTTTTAAAGCTTTTACATGTCTTAAAAAGAGGGTTGCCACCAAGTGGCTAAATGAAACTACAAATATTGTCTGGGATATTAAATGTCATCATGTCAAACACAGACTACTAATCTCACTAGTCTGCATTTACAGCCTCCTTATTTTTAAACTCACATACTTGCAAACTATTCTAACTGACACAGCTATGATCAGTAGATCGGGTCACGCTAAGAGGAACAGATTTTGGAACCTGTAGTGGGGATGTTGATGTCATAGGACCATGGTGTAGTTTGTTTATAGCCTAACAATAGCTTTTTACTTTTAGGCTTCAAAATCTTAAAAGTGTCATTGATTTGTGATACTTGAACAAAACGTGTAAGTGTCAAACTTTTGTTTGTCACAGAGCTTATTTTCTACAATAATACAAAAGTCTATGAAAAAAAAAATCCCATTGGCTTTTTGTCGAGGGAACCGGGGTGATGCTAACTTCCAGGCTGGCCTACAAAAATGTGTCATCCCTAGGGCACTCTATGCAAGGCAGGAGATAAGCACTGTTACATTTGAGATCCATAAAGTATTTTGTGCCTTCTTTCTGTAGACCTCAAGAAAAGCCCACATACAAATGTGTTACTATGCATACTGGTAATTTACATACCAAAATGGAGGGTGGGAAACACTGTCAAGCATCCCTCAGGGTCCTTGGTCCCGGCTTTAAAGAACCACTGGTGTAAGCTGTCTAGTTTCCTGCT